TGGATTACAGGCTGAGTTCCCCATCGCTAGCCAAGTTGACATTGAAAAGAACCAACCAGGCCACTGACAGTTGCCAGACACCTGACATAACATGCCGCATATGTGTGGAGCCCATAAGAGTGTATACGATCCCATGACAAGTAGGAGGATACGGACCCCTCGCATTTCACGCAATTTTACAATTCGTCGTTGCATAAAAAGACGTTCTTGTGCGTACACGCGTTTTCGCTGAATATGAGCAACGTGTAAAATATTATAGTAACAGTAACACATTATTAGAAATGCCGGACAGAAGCTCAAAATCAAGGTGAAGAATGTATAGGAAGGACTTTCTGCCCAGTCCACGGTGCAGATGTATTCTGTCTCATAGTACCTATAGAACGACCAATTTGTTAACGGCAGCAAGGCTATCAGAATCGATTGTGCCCAGGTCCACGTCAAAAGTAGAGCCACACGCTGCGGCGTGATGTAGTTTTTGTATCGCAGTGGTCGACAAATAGCATAATATCTATCTATAGATATGCAAGACAGTGTTGTCATGCTTGTTATACATAAGACCGAGTTAAAAATCCCGTTAAAATTACAGAACATGTCTCTAAAAAGCCATTCATTGGCAATGCAGTTAGCTAGTTCAAATGGCATTAGAAGTACACCGACCAAAAAATCGGATACGGCGAGGTTTGCGATAAAAACTGAGGTAATTGTCTGTAACGTTTTCGTACAGTAAATCAATAAAAGTACTATAAAGTTTCCTATAATCGTTATCAGCATGATAGTAGCAATAAAGACTGATAGGAAAATCGCTGCTTCTTTGTTTCTTGTACTGTCTGCTGTATTATTGGACTCGAACGATTTATATATTTTTGCTTGGATAGCGTCAGCTTCAAACACAGTTCCAAACGAATCACCATTAATCCTAAAACATTCGCTCACATTACTGGTATTGATTGCTTCCCCCTGATGAGATAAACAGCGAAAGTATAGTAGGCCTAACATTGTTGATTATAATTCTATAAATCAATAAATATGTCGAAATGAATGTTCTTAATTCGTATCCAAACCGTTTCAGCTGTCAACAGCTCCCACGCTATGCTCTGTAAAATGTATGTAGGCCTACACGACAGGCCTTTAACATGAACACTCTCGCCACTATTTTTTCTAAACAATTGCCGAGTGATAGGCCTAATTAATGTATAATGACAAACTATGATAACACACGTGGTTTATTACTGAGCCACCTCACTGTTTGTTAAACACTTAGTAACTATACTAAATTTTTTATTAATCATCAGTTTTGTCAGCCGTTTCCAGGATTGGTCGCTATGCAAAAGCGTCTACTGTGTTTTGGAAATTAGAGCAAAGCTAAAATCAAGCAATTAGCAATACTATTATAGATATAAAGTCTGCCATAAAATAACGACAACCTTTGAATCATTAGAAGGCTTGTGTATGAAGGGACCATATAAGTTATTAACTTTCAGTGATAGGCCTATACATATCCAACAAAAAGTAGTATTTGAGTTGCAGACTATTTACTGCAAAAACACCTTAAATTGATTAATAACCTAAAGAAACAGGAGAACTGTGTGTAAATGAAACTTTCCGCGAAGTCCTGTCCCTTGGATACTGTTGCTAAGGTACCCGGCAGTCTACTACGTATCGTATGTAACACGTGGTTTTATAGGACAACACGTGCATGTTGGGCAGGCAAATTCTGGCCTCCTTCTGATTTCAACACCGCAGAGTTCCATTAGAGTACTTCCATTAGTTTGGGTAGATTTTTTTTCTCATTCCAGTTTCTCAATCAATCAATCAATCAATCAATCAATCAATCAATCAATCAATCAATCAATCAATCAATCAATCAATCAATCAATCATCCAATCAATCAATCAATCAATCAATCGTTAATCAATTCATCATAAATGAAGTAATCAATTAATTAATCACATCGTTAATCAATCAATCTATCAATCAGTAGGTCAATCAATCGCTTAAGTACAGGCCAATTTCGGCATCACCTTTCTGTCTTATATATATATATATATATATATATATATATATATAATATTAAAATTCGTACAGTATTATTAATATAATTCTCATTATCATTAGTAATTCTTACTAATATTGGCATTTCAATGGTCTCACTAGGTCTTCAGCAGAAATCAAAATATTTTTATTCGACTACACTATTTTAATGTGTTTATTTTAACTTAATTATTTTTAACAATTTCACTGTTAATGGGGCGCTGTAATGAGTAATGTTTGCATAGATAAACAAGAATACTAGTAAGCTTCTATTAGATGAACTGGCCATTGTATATACTGTATATTATAATATAAACGCAAAGTATTATATAAACGGTCGCTGCCATATATTAGTACATTGCATCATGATAATTTCTGTTGTTAAAATCAGGGAACAGTGAATTCACTGTTTCCTGTTTAAAATTAACCCCCTTGACCTAATAAGCAGCGGCTTATTCATGTTATCTATGGTACACGATGGTTTTCTATCAACAACCCTGTAAGGCTTATTCCTACTACACAAACATTTACAAAGATACAAATGCACGTCGGAGTAATCTGTGATATGTTAATCAGATAATATCCTAAGCTATCACAATGTGATTTGTATTTACAATCTTTTATGGGATATGTTTTATGGATGACATACCAATTAAAATTTGATAAGTTTATTCGGTAAATAAAAATTGGATCCATAGGTCTTGACAAAGGGTTCGTTATGACATACCACAACGAAAGTATCAAGTGGTACTAGGACTGGTCCGTGCTTAGAAGAAGAAAACACAATTTTTCGTATATCTAGATTTGTTTTGCCAGGTATGAACAATTTTATTTCTATGCACCCATCAGTCAGAACATAGAATTGTCTTGTTATAATTCTAAAGCTAGCCTTATGATAATGCTATTTGCGTGCGATTTGCTCCATCGCCTATAAGTTGCTTTTGCTTAAACTAAGCCTTCGGGAGTACAATTATTTTCAATCGTGAGAAAAATCTGACATTTTCCAGGATTTGAATCTAGTGCATTGGGATTAGAATACAAGTATCTTAACCATCAACATCAGCTTTTCTCCAAACATGACTCACAGGCTCAAATGATAATGATATAATATAAATGATAAAATATATTATTATTCATAATATTTTTATTAATATTAATATGTATTATTATTGTTATTATATAATAACAACAATATTATTAATGTTATAAATATTGATATTATTAGGATACTTATTATTACTGTCCATAATAATTAAATTATAGGGCGCTTTATTTAAAACATATTTCATTATTATTATTATTATTATTCATTAATCATGGATGAAAATATTATTATTATTATTACTACTACTACTAAGCCTATAATCTTCATAGCCATAAGTGTCTTCAATTAACCTCGATAAATTCAATTCCGCCGATATAGACAGTGTTTGTGCATCTTTTATTGTATTATACTTCTTCATATAATATTATAGTATTTACCGGTATATTATTATTGATATTATTATGATAATTAATACTATTGTTAGTAATAATCATTATATTATTATTATTATTATTATTATTATTATTATTATTATTATTATTATTATACTAGGACTGGTCCGTGCTTAGAAGAAGAAAACACAATTTTTCGTATATCTAGATTTGTTTTGCCAGGTATGAACAATTTTATTTCTATGCACCCATCAGTCAGAACATAGAATTGTCTTGTTATAATTCTAAAGCTAGCCTTATGATAATGCTATTTGCGTGCGATTTGCTCCATCGCCTATAAGTTGCTTTTGCTTAAACTAAGCCTTCGGGAGTACAATTATTTTCAATCGTGAGAAAAATCTGACATTTTCCAGGATTTGAATCTAGTGCATTGGGATTAGAATACAAGTATCTTAACCATCAACATCAGCTTTTCTCCAAACATGACTCACAGGCTCAAATGATAATGATATAATATAAATGATAAAATATATTATTATTCATAATATTTTTATTAATATTAATATGTATTATTATTGTTATTATATAATAACAACAATATTATTAATGTTATAAATATTGATATTATTAGGATACTTATTATTACTGTCCATAATAATTAAATTATAGGGCGCTTTATTTAAAACATTTTATTATTATTATTCATTAATTATGGATAAAAATATTATTATTATTACTACTACTACTAAGCCTATTCCTATAATCTTCATAGCCATAAGTGTCTTCAATTAACCTCGATAAATTCAATTCCGCCGATATAGACAGTGTTTGTGCATCTTTTATTGTATTATACTTCTTCATATAATATTATAGTATTTACCGGTATATTATTATTGATATTATTATGATAATTAATACTATTGTTAGTAATAATCATTATATTATTATTAATATTATTATTATTATTATTATTATTATTGTTGTCATATTATTATTATTATTATTATTATTATTATTATTATTATTATTATTATTATTATTACCATCATTATCATTATTATTACCACCAGGCCTATTGCTATTATCTGCATATCCTAAAGTGTCTTTACTTAACCTCGATAAATTCAATTCAATCGACATAGAAGGTATATGTGCGTCTTTTAAATTTTGTTATAGGGGTTTAGTAGGCCTATACTTTCATTAGTTTACGCTTCTTCTCTATTCTCTCAATTCCCTAGGGCTAAACTGAAAGTATGGACACGTACAACATTCAGCATATTCGCTTAATTTGTTTGGGCATTCTGATTGTTTTGTATTGTGACGCGTTTACCCCAGATGAGAAGTGTGCACTTCCATTCCCTATTTTGTTCCAGGGTCACACGCCACATACACATATTTCAATCTCGGAGGAGGCTTTAGCACTGGCAACGTTGGGCTACGCTCAAGATAACAAGAAACAATCTACAAGAGAATTAAAATTTAATATAAACAATACTGATATAAGTAAACTCGTATCGCAAGTTAGAAACGAAATTACGTTCTCAAACGCTGAAGTAGACTCTAGTTATGATACAGCTTATCTTCCCGCGGCCCACTATGACGATGAGAAGTTCGTGGAAGCTAATTCTCTTCTGATAGATCTTAAAGAAGCTATAACCACTTCAATTTTTGATGGAGATTATAAATACGCAAGATATCTTACTGGAAAATACCTACACACTTTGCAGGATTTTTACAGCCATTCCAATTGGGTAGAGTTAAACAACACTGAATCGAACAGATATCTTGGTGTTTTTGGAAAGTCGGTTGGTAATGTCGCAAGTCCGAATGAAGCCACATGCCAAACATGCACACTGGACCGATCGTTTGCATTGAATTGCAAAGAAAATATATTAACAAGTGTTATACAAAAGAATATGTTAACAAGTGGTTACTATTCAGCTCAGAGGGATAACAATGGAAAAGAAGTTACCAAGAATATTCCAAATGGTACAAATCCCGATTGGACATACCTTTTTCTCAAATATTTATTTTCATATATATATATATATATATATATATATATATATATATATAAATATATAGGCCTATTGCTTTTTGTTGCTTATCAAATTTGTATCTCTACTGAGACCAAGCCATTTTTTCCACAGCATGGTTGTGTATGAGTATTTTGCCTTTTAATCTATATATAAATAAATATGTATATATGCATCATAAATCAGAATAGGCCTATTATATAGGATATATACGGTGCTGATTTGCCACAAATTATATTAGAAAATTACAGTTAACGAGTACTGTTGGTCACAGACCTTTATCGTTAATCGTTCTGGCCAACACGACTACAGTCTCTTTAGGCCATGGCCACCGGCCCATAGAGAACGTAAAATCATACACAATTAAAAGAGGACAGACTTCCTTAGAAGGTTCAGGATCGGTATTTATTTGCAGAACCATGGCCCAAAATCTGTCTTAGTCAGGAGCCTTAAATCTGCATAATCATGACAATCGAAAGATGCGTATGGAATGAAGTAGTGCTTGATTTTGATAATATAATAATTACCATTAACGGGCTATTTCATAGGTAAATGTTACTATGGTGGATCAAAGGAGAGAGACCTGACCGCTAATCTATTTGGTGGAATCAATAAAGACTCGAACAACGAGGATCTTTCCCCACACTATTACCTCCACGACAAAGCTGCCGCCATAGCAACTGATGCCAGCTACGAATTTCTAAATGGTTTACGATTTACAGTCGGAGATGACCAATTCGGTCGCTTTCTAAAAATTGGACACTGCTCGTCGTTTGGATTTGTTTTCGCCGTTGATGGCAACGCAGCTAAACGGATCATAGGCAATGTACGTCAGGTTTTAAGTAATCTTAAAAGGAAGAACACCTCGCCAACAAAATACATATGTCTAGCAGCTGGTCTTCCTTGTAAGTAATTTAAAATAGCACAGTAAATAAACTATTTTCATTGTTTTAATTGAAGATTCATGCAGTTTGTTACGGTACTTATTTTATGACGGTAGGTCGCTAGGAAGTTTTAATCGTATAATATGACCCATCTAACATGAACCATCTCATGTGACTTGCGCCACCTAATTGCAATAATATTATTCGATGGTAAAGATTGTTAATATTATTGAGTTCACCTCGAATGGCGGTTATGACAATCAAATTCAAAAGTACAATATATTTTAAGATACTATAATGATAAAGTATTCACCACATGTTATAAATTTTTGAAATAGTAACATCATTACAATTGTATTCTATAGATGACAAAGAAGCTATAACAAGTGACCAAGATGTATTTCAAATGCACTTAAATCAGGTTGAAAAAAGTCTCATTGGCACATACTGGAAAACAGCTGACAGTTTTATCAATTTAAATGATGACATAATAGAAAATGCAATACGTCATAGCGACACAGATTCGCCGTTGTTCATTTTTACTAGCAGTTCTGTAAATGATATAACTCTTCGTATACAATCACTTGCCATTCATTGGAATGTAAAGGTAGGCCTATGTAACGTACACTCGTCGTTGCTATACATAATAAATTCTTCGGAGTTTGTTTCTTACTCTCCTCTAGTTAACTAGTCTCATCTAATTTCATATGTTATTTTTCTACCTTTCTTTAATTTTGTAATATTATTTACAGTCGATTGTTATTTATTTTGTTTGTTAAATTTTCCCCTTTTTTTGTTTTTGTTTGTACGAACGCACCAATTGATATTGAATGCCACCGATTCAAAGGTTTATGTTCAAATAAATAAATAAATAAATAAATAAATAGTCGTTAATAGGACAAAATCAGAATTGAATTGTGTGTCCCTTACCAAACTCCCAATAACTGGGTCCTGTCAGGTTCGTCAGTAATGGATACATTACACAGACATGAACAACGAAAAAGGAAGATTTGATATATTCGCTATCGTTCTCGCACAAATAAAATACCCCCATACCCACCCCTGGGTCGGCCCTTAGGCCCTCAGATAACGCCGCGCGCTAAAGTTACACCCATAAATAATTAGCCCCCCCCCCAGTCGAACATCTCGAACATCTTAGGCCCCCCTCCCCACCATAAATTATATCCTAGAGCCGCCACTGCTCCAATACAAAATAATACTGTACATGGAATATAGAACAGTAGGTATTAGGCATATATCTAAGATATTTGAATTCCCATTGATAAAGTCAAAAAAGGTTCAGATTGAAATATATCATGTTCCTTCTATACCCAATAGTTTAATGTAGATCTATATATCGCAATAGGCCTAGAATTAGATATTATGATGTAAATCACAATTATAATTTCTTTGGATCTCGTTAAAGCTATACTTTTTATTAACGGATCACAATGCTACATTTGATGAGAATTTACTCAAAAAGGCCCGTTCTACTGGTGGTGACGTTATAGACATCAACAAAGTTGACGTCACCTACTTAGTACAGACAATGGAGGCAGAAGTGCTAAAACAACTGGTATGTAGATTATGTGTACAGGCCTATTAAAACTTAAATTATAGGTAATAATTCAGTAACATTTTATTCATCAAAAAGTTTTGTTTTTTTTTTAAATAGGAAAGTTTTTCATTTTCTTACCACAAAGAACCAGCTGAAATTATTTCAATAATTAGAATCATACTACATCTGTGGGAAAGAAATTGAAATGATTCTGAAATGCATATGAATTTCTCACAGGTGAAATGGAAATCCACTTCTCGGTATTCCTAATATATATATATATATATACACATATAGTATATATGTCTGTGTTCACTAGTAGGCTATATTATGAAGACCTGAGTGGGTTTCTTGATCTGCCAGAATATTTGATGATGTAATAAAACCTACACCTTTAATGAGTCTGAGAAAGTAATGTTCTTATATGCTGCAGGTAACAGTTGTATACGATGAGATCGATCAACCGCCGACTATTGATGGCAATCCTCATCTTATTCCTATTGATGACACATTGAGCAATGTGTTCGTCGAAATTGCAGGAAACTACAAGAGTTTGAATTTCACCGACAGTTCAGGTTAGCAGCTGGTTCTTCATCAGTCCTATATCCTGTCAGTTATTCCAAAACGTTTTAGGTCGTTTAGCTCATTCACAATGTTGAATAGATTAGAATCATCGAATTACAAGCATTTTTATGTGTGACGATGATATGAAACGAACTATTACATGTACTATAAGTGACATTAACGAAGAACGTGTCTCCTTAACACCTGTGTATACATTCGTTGAGAATTCAAATCCGAATAATGCAACTCATGCTTTACACTCTTTCGCAAGCCTATTGTTCAACAAATAACAGAGACCAATAGGTACACCCTCTTCTTAAGCAATTAACGACATGACTGGATCTTCGAAAAGATACTTTATTTATAAATAAAACAGAATATGATGTAGAGATATTCTAAACAGTCTTGGGGTAATGCTATAAATGATACTTTATACAATTTGAACGTTAAAGAAGAGAATCTGTGAGTGTGAAAGAAGTTGCCCCAATCAAGATATATCGAATACCATGATCAGATACCTATAAGATACACCCACTTCTGTGTTTATTTTTAACAGGATGGATCTCGAATAGATACTAATTTTATATAGTGGGAAACCAAAAAAACTTGGGGTTTTTTTTAAAAACCTGAACATTATTTCCCGGCAATATCTATTTATAATAAATTCGGCATATAAAGAAAACATTCAACACATCCTTGTATATACAATATAAATAAAAATATTAAAATATTAAATATTGTATCATAGGTAATTATAGGATGCTTACCGAATCCCCTGGAAGTTCGAATAACTCGAGATTTTTTCGTTTTCCCACCAATGAACCTGGAATATGGATATTAACTGTCAGCTCAAATGAAAAGTACAGTGTTCGAGTTAAGGGTTGGAGCAAAGTTGACGTAACGTATTCTCTACATTATCTGGTGTATAAAAGTCGTCACCCAGTGTTACATCGAATAAATGGAAAACCTACAGTGGGTAGGTACTAGATTGTATTAATCTCTCGAATTTTTGGTTTTATGAAAATAACAATGACTATGATGGTTGCCGTTGCTAGAAATGATGCTATTTTATTCTGAGACCCTGACAGGGGCTGTAGGTGGTCACAAGTGGAATGTACATCCATGCCTGTGTGATCCTTCCGTTTTAATTTTTTAAACTCATTTTCATGTTCTTATTTTAAATCTTTTTCTACCAAGGTAGTGACTATTTCATGGCGGTTTTTGTCGGTGGTATAAGCGTTGGAGCACACTGCAGTTCAGCTTCTGTTGACATTATAGACATTTCCGGAAGAACAATTCACATGTTCAACGCGTCCATTGATTCAATTAATACAAACTTGACAATACCTGTTAAATTTAATTTCGGTGAGTATCGTCTACGAATTACTTGTATTGACTTGTCCGGCCATATACTGCAAAGAATTGCTTCTAGAGCAATTCAGACCACGAGCAGTAAATTAGGCCTTACAAAGACGCCATCAACGACACTCATCAAGTCCGGTGAAGTGACGAAGATAAGTTTCAACCTACAAAACCTTGGAGAAAGGAGTATATTTGAAGTATTTGCAGATGATGACGATGGCTATGTCACTGAATGGAGGCCGCATTAGTAAGTTTGAAAAATTAGTGTATTTTAAAACAAGAAAATCAATAATAATTTGCTAACCAAATATATGCAAATATTAAAAAAGAAATGAATGAATTAAACTCTATTACATAAATGGGTCCCGCAGTTTTTGACCAATTTGGGTTTTGAAATAGCTAATATAGTATTATATAGATACTATTGTAATATGCGCTTAATAAATATACAGCCATTACCATTTATTACCATATAGTATTTAACCATCTGTTGCTAAATATGATCTATTTTATATATATATATATATATATATATATATATATATATATATTTTTCATTTGTGTTTCACGTGTGTTCCGACAGAATAATAGAAAATAATGAAACAACTTCAGTAGTAGACTTTAAGAACACTGATTTATTATAAACTCGGATATTTCTGCCACTCCTGTGGCCTTCATCAGCGAGAATGAGGAAAACATCATGAATCAATATAATATAAAACTGTACAATGATTGGTCTATTTATCTATGCATACTGAGTATCTACAATAATAAAGAACCAAATGTGTTAATTGCAGAGACTAGTCAAATAAACTATCCATTGTATTGGCCAGCACAACACATGTCTCTTATACACATCTAGATGTGTATAAGAGACAGCCAACATGGAGAAAAATGCACAAGACCTAATAATATAACGTATGCTAGGCCTGTGAATATACCTAGAATAATGAATGAAGCAATGCAGTAATATAATAATAATAATAATAATAATAATAATAATAATAGTAATGATAAAAATAATAGTAATAATAATAATAATAATAATAATAATAATAATAATAATAATATATATATATATATATATAATTACTATTACTCTATTATATTATAATAATTATTATTTGTTATTATCCTTATCATTATCAACATTATCATTATCATCATTATGCTTGCAGTTTAAGTTTAGGCAGACACAGAACTTCAAGTGGTGAAGTTACTCTGCGTATACCCAATGACGCAATACCAGGCAAGCGGATATTAATCGTCATTTCAGTGTCCAGTGGAAATGACAATGTAACCCATAATTCGATTGTATTCACATCCTCAGTCAAAATGAAGGTGAGGGGAATTGCTGCTTTGCTATCAAATAACCACAGATAGGGTTTATTAACCTTCATTCAGACAATAACTTATTTTGTTTGTTTGATTAGCTGTTACATTGAAATTAAATTGTAATGAATTAGTCACACTATAAAAATAATCCATTACTTATTCCGCGATACCCATTTTTTCCTGGAGTATTTGAGTTTAATTTTTTTGTTATGGGTTTTAGTCCAAATTTTGGACAAAGGACCTATGTTTACGACATAGTACAGAAATTATGTACTCTATACGGTACTAAATTAATTTCAATGTGATTTTTTCCTATAATTAAGCATTTTTCTTATCAGATACTAGACCACTTTCCTCCTTCCTGTACGGTCAACATGAAGCCCAATAACTGTAGCAGCAACGATAATTGCAGTTTATTATCTTGGTCTGCTGAAGGTACAATTCTGGACAGTGGCATCGGCATTCAGCGAATAGAGAAAATCATTGGTGAGGGCGCTCTAACACTAGCAAACTTTTCAGGAGGAGATGATGTAGATGAAGTCCACTGGAATTATACAAGCAATTGTTGTAGCTTAAATCTAAATTTAGCAATGTTTGATCTAGCTGGAAATTACGCCGAATGTGACTTGGCCTCTGCTTCAGAATTCAATGACTCTCTGTATCCACATGGTGTAAAGCTAGTCAGTCCGGGCCTATCGATATGCATTATTGTTATTCTGATTTCCGGAGTCACGATCCTTATTATTCTTTGGGTTCGAAGTCATTTTGTTAAACAGCGCTACAGAAATGTTTCACAGTATAGCGACAATGACTCTACCGACTTTACAGATACACAAGTGTGACTTCAATTAAAATGTATTACTTGATGTCAGGACAGCGAACCTTCATGAATAAGCATTCTCATCATCATCATCATCATCATCATCATCATTATCATCATCATCATCATCATCAACATCATCAACATTATCATCATCGTTCTCATTTTCATCATCAAAATCATTATTATCCCTGTTTCTGACTTTCACCCACCACCACCATTGAAATATGGTGATCATCATCATAATCGTCATCATGTTAGTAACCATCTTCAATTTATCATTATAATTATTCCCATCATCATTATCACTGTTCGGATACACCTAATATTATATTGTAGCAGCAAATGAGTTGTATAGACTTTTTTTTATATTGGTTTGTTTTATACCGGTATACATTGTTGAATTACTTTTCATATGAAATTAATTAACATAGGCCTATTAGCTAAGGTTTACATGATTAAAGGTCTTCGACTAAATTAAAAAAAGGTTGTTCATTGAAACAATAAAATAATTTTACGTCGAAAATACTGTTATGTATTTTTCACCGAACTGAATTCATCAAAGGTTACGGCATATGTATTAAGGAAATATTGTCTCCAGGACTGTATGAGGTGAAATGTTTCACAGTATAGCGACAATTGGCGTATTCGTTTGGTCCTTTTCCGAGGAGCTCGGAGTGTGCTCGTTAAAAAACAGCGAGTAGTTCGAGCCGCTCTTGTGAGGAGTTCGTGCTGCTCGTGCGACCAGTCGAATACGACATGTGCAGTTTGAGTTGAAGAGCTGCTCAAAACAGACCAGTCGAATACGTCTAATGACTACTGACTTTAAAGCCCCATTCCCGGCAAAATTTTAGTTTTTAAGAAAAATCTAATTTTTGTATAATGTTATAAAGATTTATAAATATAATACGGAATTGGTAGTTTAACTGAATTTAGACATTCCTAAGGATAAAAAAAATGTAAAATAAGACTGAAATTTGATTTTTTTGTGTTCCACACAAAAAATAAATGCGGATGAATTTTTCATTTTGATTTTGCGATAGGTCGTAAGAAGAAATATCGTAGGCGCCGAAAACATTAGCCTATCCAGCGCTGCTAGGCTAGGCCTAGCCTTACCTCGATTTAGGTTCTGTTATCACACATAAAAACGGCCGACATGATATTTTCCTTTGCTAGTATTGACACTTGAAATATAATATTTCATAGGAATTATTTCAAATTTGTTAAAAAACTGATTCTGACTGAGATTTTGACATTAAACAAACATATCTCAGCTTTAATCGAACGACCGCATTGTGCGAGATACGAAGTACAAAAATTAATCTCATTAGAGAGGGCGCACTTTATTGACTGTATAAAAGTATACATAAAAGCGAGAGTATTCCATTGGATGCGATCTACAACCTCTGAATTTGCCTAGTAACGATGAATTCGTCGAGAAAATGGTAATATTTTATGAGAAATAGTCTGTATTTCTCTTTTTTTAAA